TAGCCCGCGTGCAGGCCCAAGGGAAGAATAGTGAGCCTGCAAGCAAGGCCCGGTATTTTGTACTTTCCGCGTTCGCCCACGAACGCGGCATTCTGATTGGCTGTTTGCTGTTGGATTCTATAATTAGATCACTGATTCATCACAAAGGCTCTCGATAAGCTTAAAATTCGAAAATTGATCACTTTTTTCGATTAAAAATGGAACAAGAACAGACTGTTTATTGTTTACTTGAAGGAAGAGATGTTTTTGCCGTTATGCCAATGGGGATTGCTTGTCGTGAAGTGTTGGAATAGCAACATTACGACTGGGGTAAACTATAGTAACTTTTACTTGAGTTTCATTATTAAATTTCAAATAGACTTTATACGTTATGTTCCTCAAGAAAATTATCTTTTGGTTGATGTGGACTCTGTTCTTGCACTGAAGAAAACAGCGCTTTTCGCGTTGAAGATTTAGAGGCAGTTGCATGTAAGCCTATTCGAAACACTTTGCGATTTGCAAGGCTTCGCTGAGAGAGCGAAACAGAAGACGGTAATTGCCGTTTGAAACGAAACGATCTGGACTCTGAACGCTCTCTTCTTTTGTAGAGTTCTTTACCAAATGAAATAACTGAAATAAATTTCGTACTTTCCGCCGCCAACAAGAATTGCACACACGATCTGATAAGTGAGACAATTTATTTATAACAATGCCAATGGCGACAGCGAAGCACACATAATATAAATGCTAATGTGGTCGCATGACTTCCCTCACGATTTGAAGTTTGAGACTGGTTTTCTGTTGAAATTCGTCCTAATTTGCCTCTTCCGATTTTAGTTGAAAATGAGCACTTGCAAATTTGGCAATTACTGACTGCGTTGCTTGCTTTTTTGGAGTTAAAACGTAGCCATTTACACATTGTTTATTAGTGTTCTGAATAAGCAGAGAAAACCCCGCAAATTTTAATGCGAGTTTGTTTGTTAATATTTGGGTAACTGAAGTTCAGGCCCTATCACAGAATAGGGCCTGACACAAAACCTATCTAAAGTGTGGGATTCCCGTCCACCTGGTGGACGGGAAATCTGATTGGTTGATCAGCATCATGAAGGATTTTGATTGGTTGCAAGTTCACATAAACAACAGTTTTAAAAATAGCTCGGTCAAGGCGAGAATTAATATAAAGGTCAAACGCACGTAACAAATTCCATTATCGATTTCTTCGAATTTCTTTCCCTTTATGCTTTATGGAAGTAAATAAATCAAACAAACAGTATTTTGAAAGGGCTTCATCAAAATCTTTGACGAATTTTGGACATACACGACGCTGAAAGAACAGCCAAACTAGTCCTGTATTCGAAAGCTTGTTGTTGACAGCCAAGATGTTCTGCCCACTTGCTTCGCCGGCAAAAGTCTTATTTTTAATATCAGGTCCTACCGGCGTTGTTTTCTGAGCTACATCGCCTTCTTCGTGGTATGATTTAGAATTTAATTGTTGCTGTTATTAGCCCGTTAGTCGTTAGAGTATATCCGCGTCCAGCAAGTTGAGACCTTGAGAAAGCTTGGCAGTCAAGCCGTGCACAGAACTGACTAATTAAATCTTTGTTTGCTGTTTGCCTGTTCGGTTAAATAGAGAAACTGACTCTTAATTATATAAAAGTACCTTGAATTTTTAAGTTTAATTAAAAAGCAAAATGCTCTGCGGACATGTTCATGAGAATATCATTTTTTGTCTCTTCTGTGCTGGTGTTGTGTACTCAGGTGAATAATATGTTTGTGATGTTACTCTGAGTGCATATCCACACCGGTCGAGCTTGAAAAATATGCCCGGCCACGGTGGGATTCGAACCTACGACCTTTGGAATACTAGCCCAATGCTCTTCCAACTGAGCTACGCGGTCAGGACGGTTCGAAAAGAAAACATTGTTTCCTAGCCATGTTCTACACGAAACATTGTTTCCTAGCCATGTTCTACACGAAACATTGTTTTCTAGGCATGTTTCCCACGAAACATTGTTTCCTAGCCATGTTTCCCACGAAACATTAGGGCCATTTATACGGGACAAAATAAGTCGCGTCTTACATAAGACGCGTCTTATATAAGCTGAGTTATCGCATAAATGGTTCTCTACGGATTTATTCTTATTTACTTGCTATAGCTATAATGTTGTTTCGGTTGTTTTTGTTCGAATATGCAAGGCATTAATTTTACGTTGTTTCAAGTTTCTGGCATGTGTAGTTAGACTTTTTGTCCAAAATTTCTTATTTAAGACGCGACTTAAATAAGAACAGCTAAAAGACCTGTTCTTATGTAAGACGCGTCTTATCCAAGACGCGTCTTACATAAGAATGTTGTACCTTTTATACCACAAACTCGCGTCTTACTTAAGTCGCGTCTTATGTAAGTCGCGTCTTATTTTGTTCCGTATAAATGGCCCTAATGTATCAGAAAGTATTTCAAAATTTAAACATTGCAAATGATTGGGAAGTCTAAACAACGGTGTGACACGTGAACACATGCTGTTAGACTATCAAACTAATTAAGTGTTTGGGCTTTCAAAGTCTTCACGAGAAATTTGCCAAGAAATTGACTTAATTTTAGACAAAATTCACAGAATTTGTCACATTTTTTTTTATTGCAAGCCAAAATTGCCCGACTGTTGTCGAATATTGCCCGACTGCCCAAAAAACTGGGGGGGCTGCCGGCCCCCCTCCGCCCCCCCGCCCGGTACGCCTACGGACAAATAGATAACATTTTGCAGTTATCTGTTCAGTTATAGGCCCCGTTTACACTATACCGGATTGCATCGGAGCGTCGCGATTTTCATACCGGATTCGGCTGCTGTTTACACTACGCCGCAGTAATCCGGTACGCGACGCGGCATAAAAATCACTCCGCTTTGGAGGTGATATGAAAAGTAATCCGGTATGTGCCGGAGCAGTGTAAACAGGCTAATCCGGTACGCTTCGGTACAAAATCGGTTTTGGCGTGTATGTTTTAACATTGTCGCCTTTATTTGCTCGCTTTTACAATACTTTATAGCTGTTGTTTGTTTCGCCTTACAACCATTTACTATTTCTGCCGAATACAAATAAAGAAAACGATAATAACATTGACTTTTCGCTTTCGAAAGAGCAAAATTTAAAGAAATACTCGTCAATTTTGGATTAGAGCGAAACGAAGCAACGTCTGGTGGTCAAGCTTTTTAAACAAAGTTATACTTTACAAAGAAAACGGGTATTAGTTCTTGTTTTTAATAAATTTTGGTATATTGGCTACTTGTTTCCATGGCGACAGTGAAAGACATGAGCTGGCAACAGAGCGAAGCGGCATAGTGTAAACACCCTTGTTTTTTTACTTCGGAGTAAAAATTAATCCGGTATGAAAAGTAATCCGGTATAGTGTAAACGGAGCCTAAGTATGAATGTAATCAGAACATACAGCTGGGAGTGGTTGTCTTCTTAGAAGATTCATATCCAATATTGTCAACATCAGTCTTCTGTTTAACCGCCAGTTCATATTCAGTATTTTCCTCCAGACCAGTATATAACGCTTGAGATGTATTGCTCGAAGCTAACTCTGTTTTCACCTGGACTTGATCTGCAGATCGTGTAACCGTCACTTGGTATGAACTGACCTTGATATAATTCTGGGTATCATGACTCCACGAGAAACTCACACTATTGCATGTCGATTTCACGTTGTAGATTTCTGGTTTATCCAGTGGAACTGTAATCAATTTAATATACAACGATTAAATAGGTTCTACGGGAAAAGATAAGTATACTACTAGCAATAGGAGCAGGTTTCCCAATATGGTACCGGCTATGTGGTACCGAAGGTACGTCACCTTCAACAATGAAGATTTTGAAGTTTAGACAATCTAAAATGCCATTTCCGTGCAGCCATTTTTGGAGAGTAGTTTTTTAGATTTTGTCATGTCCAAATATTTCGCGAAGAATGTCGTTTAAAATGTATGTTTTAGAACAAGAAAACTTTCCCTTCACATTTCTTTGGCAAGGAGGGAATCGTTTAAAATACAGTACACAAAGCACAGCTTTCTAAAAACAATCACTCAGTAACCCGAAACTACAAGTACGAAGAAGAAGAAACATCAAAACACACACATACAAAAATATTACAATAGACATATTTTCACAGTTTTCAAATTTTTAGAATAGGCTAACACGACAGCTGAAAAAAGTGCATCAAAATTTGTAAAATTGTTAAGTTTGGTTGTAAAATATTATAAAGGCCCCGTTTACACTTGCAATTTTCGCTGCGATTTCTAGTGCGATCCCCTCTTTAGGCCGTGAGCCAAAATTATTTCACTTCGTGGCAACCCCCTAGGGAATAGATTTTCTGTGGTTTAATGCACAGTACCATAAATGCTCAATTACCACAAAAACTTCCCAAGCAAAAAACTTGCCAAACACCGAGAAAATGGGTGATCAGTGATTATCCTCTATTAAATTGTATTATAGCAAGAAAATGTGAAATTTTGTATTCAATTACAACAAAAATGACTTGCATCATCAGAAAGCATACAAAAAACCGCATACAAGACATTCAAACAGTTTTTTGATCCTTCAAATAGTCTTTGAGTTATTGCTGTTTTAAATGTGAAAATTGGCCCAAAATGTCGCAATAAGGACTGGGTACTAGGTCAAAAACGCGTTTTTGACAGCGTATAACTCGAAAACAATTTGAAATATAAAAAAAGCCTGTTTAAATGTCTTATATCCAGTTTTTCGTAAGCTTTCCGATGATGCTAATCATTTTTGTTGTAACTGAATACAAAATTTCACATTTTTTTGCTGCAATACAATTTAATAGAGGATAATCACTGATCACCCATTTTCTCGGTGTTTGGCAAGTTTTTGCTTGGGAACTTTTTGTGGTAATTGAGCATCTATGGAACTGTGCATTAAACCACAGAAAATCTATTCCCCAGGAGGTTGCCACGAAATTGCTTTTCCAAGCACTTTTTCGCACAACGGCCCACGGCCTACTTCTGATGGATGTGAAGGAGTGGATAAGTTATAAATGCTCAGATGAAGGAACAGGTACTCAGAACATTCATAACTCATCTACTCGTTCTCATCCATCAGAAGAAGAAAATCGCACTAGAAATCGCAGCAAAAATTGCAAGTGTAAACGGGCCTTAAGAAAGGATACGATAGCCTTACACAGTTTGCACATTTTAGCCTGGTTCATACTAGCAACTTTTTTAGCGATTTAGTGTTTCTGACGGATGGAAATGACTGAACTCGCACACAAAAGTATACAGGATTCGTACAGGTCAGGAAGAGTTAAATTCAACGTACGACTTTTCAAGGACATTCAAGGCCGTGTATATCAGCAAATTCAAGGACTAAATACTGAAGAAGGTGTTAGAAATCAGCAAAATCTCACGTCGTTGAATTGTTCAAAACGTAACTTTATAACGAGGTCAGATATGAACATGCAAAATCAGTTCAACAAAATGTCCGTCTTGAATGTCAAACAATTTGAGAAAATATTCAAAAACTAAAGCAAGACATTCAAGTACTTCTTTACAAATTCAAGGGCATTCATGGCCTTGAATTTTTGTTTTCAAATTCAAGGACATTCAAGGACTTTCAAGTTTTGTACGAACCCTGAGTATAGAATCGCTTTTCAGAAGTGAACAATTCTAAGTCTTTTGCATGTCATTCATTCGGTCACAATTGCCAGGAGAAAAATCGCCGATAGAATTGCTAGTGTGAACCAGGCTTTTACATGATGTTTGTGATGTTACTCTGAGTGTATATCCACACCGCGGGCATGCTTGAAAAATATGCCTGGCCACGGTGGGAATTTTATTTTTCAAGCTTGCCCGGTGTGGATATACATTCAGAGTAACATCACAAACATCAGTACATACATCACAAACATCATACACAACACCAACACAGAAAAAATCAGGCTTTTATATGTTTTTATATTGTAGGATTGTGGAAGTGAATATTTGCCCCTCCAACAATAGCTTCTGCAATATAAAAGTATATAAAATGTGCAAACTTTGCAAGGCCATACTGTATGTACAGTATGTTTTACCACCAAACTTTGCAATTTCACCAGCTTGGATGCACTTTGCATGCAGCTGTGGTGTTGGATTTTCATTCCTTTGCCTAAATAAAAATTTGGAAAAACAACCGTGAAACATATAGTTGCAGAAGTTTGGGAGAGACGAATATTAAGTCTATTAAAGGGGCTACAGTAGCTGCAAATTCAAATGTCAACATATATGAACTTTAAGAACTCTGAATTATGAATTCTGGAGCTACAGATCAACTCTATAACCATGTGGAGGGAGTGGAGCTAGCTATCATCTAAACCTGGAGTAAATAAAGTAGCAATTTGGTCACAGTCAAAAAGCTAGTGGGACAGGATCTGCCTGAGTCGTACACCAACTTAGTAGTTGATTTAAGGATCCATATTTATAAGCTCCTTAATTACAGATTTGAATACCTTGGGCTTGAAAACTTTGCTACTGAATCTGATACAATATGCAAAGTGTAAATACGCAGATAGTCAGAGAGTACTACATACTGTAGTGTAGTGTACGTGGTACTTAGGCGAACACCAAGAAGTACGTATTCTAAGTACGCGAATTATTGCACCCCGCGTTATTCTTTTTTTTTTCAAATGCTTAACAATCATATATAAAGATTGATGGTATTAAGCACAACAACATAAGTTCTAAAGTAATTACCACAAACAATCACTATGCCCAAAACCACAGAAACAATTTGTAATCTAAATCGAACAATTAACTAATTGGCTTGCTCGAGGGGTAAATTCAAATTAAGGTAATCGATTACCGAAAATTATCTACTAATTTATAGAAAATCAATCAAGAAAAAAGCGGATTCAGTAAAAAGGGCGGACTAGTAAAATAGAGTAAATACTTTGGTAAAACAATCAAGATAAAACATATCAGGGCATAGAACTGCAAAAATCATCTAACGGTCGACAATCGACTATTTGGCGATTTGTTCTCTACCGACATGTTTACCGACCAGATAAAAAGCACAGTTTTCATACACACAACATTTTTTCGGCATCGCTGCAACGGGACCAGACATTCATAAAATTCGAAAACAATATCGATAGGACCAAGAAATATTTGGTAGCATGGAACGTTGGGACTGGCCAGCAAAGGTTAATGTGATGAGCACGACCAATCAATGTAAATATTGTAAAGCTGATAAGTATAAAAAATACTCACCACTTAATGTGATCTTTTTTTCTATGGTGTTCAGTCTACTTGAAGCAGCACATGTGTATACCCCAAGATCGTCTGTACTCGTTTTGTTGATGCGATATGTCAGAGAAGATGAAGTGGAATTTGCAGTTACAACTACTTGCAAGTCTTTACTTCCATAAGACAATTTCATCTCTGGTACTGGAATGCCAATCGCATTGCATAAAATTCTAGCAGGTGAATTCAAGCGTACGTGGAATGTCTCCACAACATTCTGAAACTGAGGCGGATCTAAGAAATGGCAAGAAAATCTTGTCTAACAGGACTGATTTAACTTAAACATTAAGACGAAAGGCAAGGCCGAATCAAGGCTCCTATGCTACGGGAGTGTAATGTTTCCAGAGGACAACAGTCAGATACGATTGCTTTTAAATTTCTAAACATAAAAACTACGTGGATGTTGCCATCATCGCGTGTGGGGTTTTACCGCGTGATCTTACGTATTTTGTCCGGTGTTTCGCTTTTTAACCGCAGTGTGCCAGGCAGGGACGTAGCGACGCATCGGGGGGGGGGGCATTTCTGGTGTTTTCTAAAGCAAATTCGCCACTGGACTTTATAACTCTAACCCCATCATCAATTTTGAGAAGCTACGTGGTATTTCATATTTGCATGGATGCATTATTTGGCAGAGCCTTGGTTTAATTCTTCCCGCGCGCGTTCACCAATGGACCTATTCCCTAATGAACAAAATTTTGATCTAGACAAGTCTAGACAAAAATTTTATCACAGCTGGAAAGAGCATCACAAAATTAGCAATATTCCCAAGTTTCGTTGCGAAATGTTGTAAAATGCGGATAATATAGCCCTGCAAAGTTTGCCGTTTTTCAGTCATTTTGTATTACGCACGGGAAATATTGATACCTTTTTTCAGAAAGCGGTATCAATTTCCCGTGCGTAATACAAAATGACTGAAAAACGGCAAACTTCGCAAGGCTATATTATCCACATTTTACAACATTTCGCAACGAAACTTGGGAATATTACTAATTTTGTGATGCTCTTTCAAGCTGTGTTAAAATTTTTGTCTGGATCAAAATTTTGTTCATTAGGGAATAGGTCCATTACCTGAATGCCTTACATTTTCCGAGTATAGCTAGCTTTCATGTGTTTTTTTTTTAAATTATACGTGTCTCTGTGGAGGAGAATGGGCGCCGTTCCGTTCTTTTACGTCAAAACATTAACCCACTTTCAAATATTCAAAATGAAACGTTTAGTAAACCTCCTGAGATTGTTAAAAAAGAGAAAATTTGCACTCCTGATGAGTCGCCATTTTGCGTACTTTTACTCAAACTGATCCCTAAGCCCAACTCAGCTGCACTGGAGTCTCAGTGGAGGACTACATATACAATTAATTAATTCAGCATAATAAGTTGTACTCCTCTCAACCAATTTTTTCATGCAAATAACGTTGCTAATTCACGAAACTTACTCCCATAACTGAAAATAACGGGAGGCAAATATATGTACAGTACTCACAAACAACATTGACTTGTACCGACTGACTCGGTTTGATTACATTTCCCATCGAATCCACAGCAGCATTCATTGCTGAGCATTCATAAACACCACCCTGATCTGTCTGGATATTTGTTAAAGTCAATACACTTTTACCAGGAGATTTTGTCTAAATAAAAATAAATTGTAATATCAGTGAGGTATATGATATACGCGTATTGGCCCAGTGTACATACAGTAGTCTATTTTGGCTATTCTGGGTGATTGGCAGGTGCAGTACACGCCCTGGAAATTTAGACGCACTTCCAAAATCCTACAATTGTTAAGGGACTGAAAAAGAATATATATGCCTAAAGCTACGTTTAGACGCTGCGATTTGTCGTGTACTATGTTATCGAATAAGCACGCGTGGTTGCATTTCAAACTTAGTCACAAACTAAATGAAGAGGAATTGTTTTTATACAAGCCAAATCGCAGTGTGTAAACGTATCGCTGAAACCTGATTTCCCCCCAATATTTCCTATGTTTTCCTCCTTTGAACAACCGACCCCTGGATTCTGTGAGCACATACAGTATGTAACGTTTTATACAAGCACATATTCAAGTTGGTCTTCACATGGGACTCATGAATGTCCTGTTGACCATACCTTCAAACATTGTTATAATTTTGTATGATTGTAAAGTTAATAAATAAAAAAACCTTTCTACTACCAGTGTAAAAAAATCAATTTTTAATTGAGTTTTCACACTTTATCTTTCTCTTTGATTTATTTTTTCACAATATACTTTGACGAAATTGTGGTAAGTAATAAATTGTAAAAGGAAAAAAGTGCTTGTACAGTATATTCCTTTGAAAACGGTTATATTTTTGCTCAAAGTGCTGTCTGATGTGAGAAATATTATTTCATAAAGAAAAAGTCAGGGGGGTTGGTGGAAATTGGGGAGTAGTCTCCTACTAAAACTCAATCTTCCTCTGAAAAAAACGGTAGTAGACTAAAATACTTGTATAAATCCCTAAATTATATTTTCTCATGTTTCCTATTTAACCAATGTACCTGCTGGCTTGTGGGTAAAACAATGCCATTCTTAGACCATTCAACAGTTGGTGTTGGACTTCCAGTTGCATTACAGTTCACACTTAATGACTTTCCTTTTTCAACTTCTTCATTTGGGGAAAGTGGAGCTATTACAGGTGGGACTGAATATAGAATGGTATACGTTATTATCATTACTATAAATCACAATAAATATTACAAGTTGCCTACTCAGGTGTTAAACTTGAGCTACTGATTCAGGTAAATCAGTGAAATATGTCTAATGTGGAAGGCTGGAAAGCGTGACAGCCTATAATGGGAGAAGACAATAGGTACACAGTACGCAAAGTGCATTTACAGCAATGAATTCAAGACGATCTAAGTATGTTTTATGTGCTTTTACTTTTAGACAGTTTCCTATTAAACAGAAATTCTGCCAGTAGATTCTCGTTATGTGGTCAAGCAATAATATATGGCGGCTTCTCCTTTTTCATGCACGAATCAAATCAAAATATCCTCATCACTTCAGGCATACCCAGAGAATTTCTACTTCTGAAAATTTGATTGCCCAAATTGTACATCCCTTGGGAAAAAAATATGTTCAAATCTACCACTATAAAGAAAAACTGAACAGGCAAATTCCCAGTCCCAGAGCAATTTTTCTTAAATAAATAAATTTAAAAAAAACCTGCCATGGAAATTTATATAAAACACAGAAAGTTAAAAAAAAAACAAAAAAAAACACAATCTACTGCTCATAATAACTGAGCAGTCATGCGCATATAAATATTAGTTCATGTGCAATTAACCAATGTGCAGTACATTGTGCATTGCACCCAAAAAGTGTGAATTGGAGCTTTAGATTCAAATCTCAGTTGCAATTATTCTGTGATTCCATGAGAGCAGTCAGGACTGTATATTACCCCCTTGACACAACACTGAACATTTACCTGGATATGCAAAACTTTCATAATACTTTCCCATATTCCTCATGCTTAAACTCTCTATTACATATTGGTCAACATACCGTGAACAGACAATAGGCTAAAAGTCAGCTCCTTGGTACCAACAGAATTTGCAGCAACAAATGTATAATCACCAGCATCATTGGGCTCGATGTCCATGATGAGCAGACCAGAAGCAGATATGGTAAATCTTCCACCATTAGTTATAACATCTGAGCCTTTTGTCCAAGTGATATTCGGTGTAGGCACACCACTTGCAGAGCATTCAAAACTAATATTGCCGCCACTGGTTCGGCTTTCTCGGATGGAGGTTCCATTTATACTTGGAGCAACTACACAATTACATGATGAATAATGAAATGAAGTGAGAATGCTAACATTAACTAACACTAGGGCGAGGCGATTAAATTAATCAATAAACTGTTTTTGTCAACCGATGTTGTTCTAGGGGAAAAAACGGAAAAGATTCGGAAAAGACTGTTTGAAACTCAGTAATGTTCAAACAAAATGGCAGTAATTCCACATACTATATTTGTGCAAAATTACAAAGCAATGAAGCTAGGTGGTTAAGCAGATCAAAAACTTGATTCATTCAACAGAGGCGGATGTTTGCGAAGACAATTCAATCTGACTGTAGTACAGCATGTTTTTACATAAGTTATAAAACTCCTCATAAAAATCCTAAACCTAACAAACACTACAAAAAGTTCGTTTCTCAAATGTTTTGCTAGACATCTGATCTTTTTAGAATTAACCCTTATGGGACAAATTGATGCATGTGTTTCCTATACACCTATGCCTCCCTCCTCACCATACTGTATATCACTCCCAAAATGTCTTTTCAAATACTGTAATTAGCAGGAGGGGAAACTGCCACCTCTAACCCCCCAAAAACTTCTGCAAGCCTTTACATGCACGGTGGCTGAATAACTGTGTGATAAAGCTTATAGGATAATTTTACATTTACGTGAGAGCATTAATGGTAGGCCACAAACTAAGGACATTTGCATGAAATTTAAGGAATCAAGTTCAGTAGCAAATGGGCGGGAATTTGACGACGACTAAATTTAACACCTCCCCCCCCCCCCCCCCCCCCCCCCCCCCTCCTCCACATAACATATATAAGCTAAAGCATTACATTTTTTGTAACATCGACATCCATGTTTATTTCTGGCATATGTGTTCCATTTAAATATGTTCATGCAATAAGGGTCATGTTGTTCATACAATAAGAGTCAGTAACTGTAAAGTCCTGTTCACAACAAATGCACTCATTTGTTTACATAGCATCATCCATTTTAATCCTGTGAAATAGCTAGTTTAGTAAACTGTTCAACAAGATTGCATTGTCAGATGCATCCTAGCTGAATAAAAAATTTTAAGCAACACATTTGAATAGTGCAGTTACGTAATAGCCAGCCAATCTTTTTAATCTTCAGTATTTGGCTTCATGATTTGGAACCTTGGTAACTATCTTAAAATACACTTTCTGTGTAATATCATCACATCGTCAATCTCGTGCACATGAGTTCTACTGTAGCTTTGCAACACAAATCAAGTTTATACTCAATCTTCCCTACATGTGTAGTGAGTCCTCCCGCGAGAGGCTGATCACTTTAGAATTGATGCCGTTATCTTACTGGCATGAGTATATGGATCTCGTGTTCGTCTTTAAAGCTATAAATATGGTCTGGTTGTCATATCTGACGATGTTCTCCCTAAACGGATAATTCCCACGAGAGCAACTAGATTTTCCAGTGTCAGTGAGTTATCCTTCCCCCCCCCCTCCCCTCCCCCCCAAATGCAGGACTAGTACTTTCCAGCAATCGTATATTACTCGCGTCACAAGATTTTGGAATTATCTTCCAACAGACTTTAAGACACCCTAATATACGTTTAAGTACATTTAATTACGATAGTATTATTCGAAAGCCCTGCACGGTTGTTTTGACGCAGAGGATCTAAGAACATGGAGATCTACAGTATATATGTTTAAATTGTAACTCTTGTCGAAGTTGGAATAATGTAATCAACTGCATGTTGTTTCAAAATACCTGTATGTACCCTATTTGTTAAAAGGGCCCACAGTGGTTGGTTTTAACTGTTTGTATTGTATATGCATGTCATTCGTGTAATTTTGCTTGGCAAAGTTGAATGAATAAATAAATAACTAACTAAATAAATAAATCATGCCCACTGTAATAATTATTGTTCAATTTGTCAGTATATATTTCTAAAGAACACGATATCAACAGAGTACCACTCACCAAGTAACTTCACAACTATATTCCCAGATTCTGCAGTGTAAAAATCCTTAGTTGCTGTTGCAGCATAAGTGCCATTATCTCCAGTTTGAACTTTAGATATGAGTAAAGTTCCATTGGAAGCGACACTATACCGATCAGTGATGTTCAGTACTGTATCGTTCTTTTTCCAAACAAAATCAGGTTGTGGATAGCCACGTATATCAATGTAGATAGCCCCGGGCTGGTCTTTAATCAATGTTTGTTCTTTTTTAGCTGGCGTAATAACAGAAGCTAAAAAAGTCACATGAATTGCAAAATATTACAACAGTAAGTTTGCAACCAATAAAATACCACAACCTCCTTCCCAGGGTCCAAAGGACAGACCCTGAGAACGAGGATGTAAAAATACATTAAATTAACTTTGAATGTTGATAAAACGGAGTATATGATTATCGGAACACGGCAGAAATTTAAAAAATTCTCAAGTGAAATGAATATTAACATCGGTGGGAAAAACTTGACACAAGTCGTTTCTAAAAAAGTCTTAGGCATGATACCCTGGATTCCAGAGCCTTCGACAGTAAATAATAAATTGAAACGTCGCGAAGGCTCTGGTTCAACGGGACGATTCTTTGATTAAACCGCGCCAATCACAAAACATAATTAGTGGTTTTAGTACAGAATCTGTACTAAAACCACTAATTCTGTTTTGTGATTGGCGTGATTTAATCAAAGAATCTTCCCGTTGAACCAGAGCCTTCGCGAGGTTTCAATTTATTATTTACTGTCGAAAGCTCTGGAATCCAGGGTATAGGCATAATAATAGATGATCAATTACGCTGGGATGAACACATAGATAACATAAGTAAGAAAGTATCTCAAGGCATCGGCATGTTACGACGAGCTAAACAGTTTGTTACTAAAAGAGAAACGCTTCAATTTCTTTATAATTCTATGGTTCAACCTTATTTTGAGTATTGCTCCCTGGTTTGGGGCAACTGCGGCGAATCCCTGAAGGAAAAAAATATCACCAGGTCATTACAGGTGATACTTATGATATTTGCTCAAAAGATATTTAAAAAAAGTTGAATTGGAAAAACCTATCCGGAAAAAGAAAAGAAAAAGCAAGTGCGTATGTTTCAAAAGCTATTACCGGAAATTGTCCGGAAATATAGCTGAAAAGTTTAAACTATCGAATTCTGAAAGATATGATTTAAGAAGCAATAATAAATGAATTAATTATCCACGACAACGCGGTTGTCGCTGAATTATTCGTTTGATACTTCAATTGGGAGTCACTTTGTCAGCTTCTTGACATGTATTTCTTGCTTTTGTATTTATTTGGTTAAATATTTCCACTTGAATGAGAAATTTATTTTATTAAATCGGATCGGATCGGAATTCTTTATCAGAACTCGGATCGGATCGGATTAGACAATTTTGGATCGGATTTTAAACATAGCAATTGTCGGATTATAAACGTCCAATCCGATCCGATGCACACCTCTATAATATATATTGTCAACTCTTTCAATCAGTGCTGGAAAATGTCCGGCAGCGGCAGCAGCACCACTGAAATTTTCTAATACCTTTCAGGATATTTTTATCATCCTAGTGATCCTACTGTGTATATACTGGAATGCCATACATGCAGTATAATTTACTTATTATAAAAATTCGAAAAGTGTTTTGCAAGTCGATTTTGTTTGTCATGCCTAAAACCTCTCCAATGCTGTTGATAAACATGAAAGTACACATGACCGTAGACAATGTTTTTACCTGTGATTGTTCGGTCTTAAATAGGAACAATGGCAACTGAAGTAATATATATATACTGTACTTACGTGAAAATTTTAATGTAATATTATCACTGTTCCCTTGCTTAGAATAACACGTCCATACTCCAGCAATAAATACATTCATAGACTTTATATCCAGATCATGTTCATTACCCGTGGTCGCATACGTAAGGCTAGGATCACTTTGTATTGAAGATGTATACTGTGGATTGCTGAATCGATCAAAAACGTCTGGTGCAGTTATTAAACATCTTATTTTATAGCTCTGAGCATTTCCAAGACGTACAGATTTTTCAGGGTTAGAGATCGTGACATCACAAGCTGAAAAATAGAAATAGATAAAACTATAAGGTGACAGATTGTACTTTTACTGATCCATACAAAAATAGTACCAAATGGCACTCAACAAGATAGTTAACCCATCGAGTGCCAGCGCTTTCGCATTGATGAATAAAATCATCTGGCTTTAGGCAGAGTAAAATAATAAAGCATTAGGGCGCAAAGTAACGAAATGGGTTAACTAGACACATGGGCAGAAAGTCTTGTAAAAAGGTTGATAATCGTGGATGACCCCCAGTCTAGTTCCTGCCTTTCACTTCCGCGGGCTCAAATGTGCGGGCTCAAATCGGCTCAAATGTGGTGCATATTTCCGCGCGTAATACTAAAATACTCAAAATTTGCTAATTTCACAGGGCTATATTTTCCGTATTTTACAACATTTGGCAACCAAATTTGGCAATATTACTAATTTAAGGATGTTATTTTAAGCTATAATAATAGAGTTCGTCCTTATTGTCTGGATCAAAATTTAGTCTATAGCTGGAATCATCTATTGAATCCGGCACTTCGTTCTGACACTATACGTATTTCGATATTCGATTTCGTATTTCATTATGCTGACGTAACCTTATGACGTAACCGAATTTTGGTTGCTAACCGCGCAACACTGGAACCGAGTGCGCCACATGCAAATGTTCCGCGCCATATTTTCCATTTTCACACGAGCCGACATGGCGAACAACGATTCGGGAAATTCAGAAAACGTTAATAGGCACTCGTCAATTACTTGGTACTCTTCTGGAGGAAATGACTATTTCATTTCTTGGAGAAGAGATCGCACCAGTTCTGAGCGCAAAAGACCTCGGGTTAACTCTAGATAATCATTTGACTTGTGATAAACACATCAGGAATGTTATATCATCAGCTATGTCGAGACTGTGCCAAATAAGCCGAGTAAAATATAGCTTTGACAGTGACACCCTCCGCACAATCATCAGTGCCAGTGGTAATAATGAGTAAACTCTATTGCTCCACGGTCTGGGCAAATACATCTACCACAAACATCAAGAAACGTCAAGCAGTTCAAAATTTCGCCTGTAGGCTGTAGGATTATAACTAACACAAGAAAATATGATCATATCACACCTGCACTCTAGGTGATTAATTGGCTTCCAGTTAGAGAACGTTCACCTTCAATATAGAGATTCACTGATGACTTATGCATGAACTAGCGCCATCTCATCTAAGTGACCTATTCCTTAAATGCAGCGAGATTCACGATTTAAACACGAGGAATAAGTAAGATCTAAATATTAAGATCTAAATATTCCACCATACAAAACAACGGCAGGACAAAAGAGTTTCCATTACAGAGCTGTAAAGATTTGAAATAGCATAGACGACTTGAAAAAATTACCCTTAAAAACATTCAAAACTGAGTTGAAGAAGAAAATGTCAGGAAACAATTAACATTGTTGCAAAGTTTAAATGTTTTATATAGAACTTTATAAAGAATTTTTAATATTTTAAATGTAAACAAGTATTGAGAAGCCCAGACAAGGAATACTGTATTTTATAATAATAATAATAATAACTCGCCAAGTGATACTACGCCCACAACTCCAAGCAGCAGTTTGAACGCAACATCGACATCTGTAACGCCAAACACGGGGCCAAGCAGCACGTCAACGTCATCGACGACATCAAACAGTTCTACAAGCGAAGCTCTGCTCTGCACTCTTTTTGCGCCCTACGCGAGCACTTCTCGTGCACGTACTGTACGACTCGATCTACACACAAACCACCTCCCAAGAAAGTGTGTATAGAAGACAGGGAAACAAACACGAGGCCAAAGGAAACTTGGACGCAGGAAGTCTTTTGTCTTGCTAATGTTGACGAAAGTTCGACACCAACGCGAGCAAGGAAAGAGACACTTCAATAGAAGCAAAATTGAGTTTGACGCTAATGCCAACGCAGTGTCGTTTACACAAAATTGGAAGAGGTATTTCCGAAACTTAATGGGGGGTTCCAACTGTTGAGGCGCGTCAGGAAATGGTCTAGTTGTCATTCGCCCATCATCCAGTGGTTATTCTGCAAAGTGCTCGCGAGATTCGTCCGGTCTAGGACAAGCTTTGCTCTACATGCGACCGCTGCAAATGAACATCGCTATATCTACCGAAGACACAGATGTCTGACTCACTTCATTATTTGCCCGACATTACGTTCGAAGACGAAACATTGGAAGCAAATAGACCAGTGATGGACATGGTTTGGGAATATATTGATGACATATTGAGAATCGAAAGGAAGGTACTGCAATAATGTATAGGTTTAATTCTAAAGATGTTTCATCTCTCCTCCACATGATTTTCTTAACCCATTAACTAGCAAGTGCTCTCCCATTGACAAGTAAAATCGTCTTGCTTTAACACCATGAAATACTAAAGTGGGCGTATCCGGGCTCATTGCCTGTTAATTAAAGGATTAACAAGAGACACTGGCAAATATACGTAGTTCTGTTTACTACAGTATGCCAGCTACTTACTGTAACTGCAAGAAATATTGTGTGAGTAAAATAGCATAACATTAATCCATTAACTGGGAGTACCTTACCACTGACGAGTAAAATAATCTAGTACTAGAAGTTACCGTCGCAAGGGGGAATGCTGCCGTATGCCCAAAAGTTGTTATTCGCCCTGATTGCAAATATCAAACCAGAATTAGGCCGTTTGCTGTGACCTCGAAAAGTGCCTAGAAAATGATTTTCATTAAGCATGTCTTGGAACTGAAATATTTTTATGGGAACTAACACTTTCGAACACGCTGAGTTCAAATCCGAAAACTTCCCGCACCGTAGACCCGCAGTTTTCTCACAAACTGCTATTTTATCTTCGCTAATTTCACAACAAATGTTTTCATTGTTCAACGACACGGATGGATGAAGACACACGATTGCATAACTCAAAATGACTAATTCCTGTGAACCAGTCTCTACAGTACATTAAACAAAAGACCGGTTTTGCTCGAATTATTTTGAGTTATGTAATTTTAAGCGTGTTGGACGTAAACAACATATCTTGTCTACAACTTTGGGAAGGTACCGATATCGCTTTGTAAAATTTGCCAAAAGACTTAGCATTAACGTCCTTGTGATTTTACAGAGATATCGCTAGAACTGAGGATTTTAGAAGGCGTTATCTGTACCTTCTCAAAGTTGTAGACAAGATATGTTGTTTACGTGCAACATGCATAAGATTACATAACTCAAAATAATTCGGGCAAAACCGGTCTTTTGTTAAAAGGAAGACTGGTTAATAGAAATTGGTCGTTTTTAGTGATATAATCGTGTGGCGTTGAACAACGAAAAGATTTGTTGTGAAATTGGCGAAGATAAAATAGCATTTTGTGAGAAAACTGCGGGTTTACGGCGCGGGACGTTTTCGGCGTTTGCTAAAGGCAAACCACATGTTTGCATTTTTAGTCTCAAAATATTAAGATTGCAACATTAAAAATAATCATCACTATTCATAGCAACCTTAACATTTCTGAGTGACTTCAGTCTTCAGACTGTATGTGTATCAGAAAGCTGCGAATGGAGAGGGATTCATCTACCTTAATTAAAAATGCAAGTAAATCTGCAGCTTTCTGGTGTTATTGCAATCCCTTCTCAATCCATGGACCACAGCAATTTTACGACTTGGGAGGGCTGGTGCTGAGATGAAGTAAGTTCTCGGCACCCTGGGGGATTTGGGGGCATGCACCCAAGAAAATAGAAAAGGGCCCATTTGGGTCACTGGGTGCATGGCCAGCTAATGGGTTCACTTTTCTTGCCCCGTTGCTTTGTCCATTGACAATAATCGTATGACCGGACGTTTGGCCGACAGACACTAGACCGACAGACGTTTGACCGACAGGACCTTTCACCGACAGACATTTAGCCGACAGGACATTTGGCCGACAAGGCATTAGGCCGACAGGATAATTCACCGAAACGATTTTTTATTTCAAGTTTATTTTCTAAAATAAATGCTCACGGGTAATGACTAATTGGATGACTAATTGGATTAATCAGACCATTAGTCAAATTAGGGCCTGTTCATATGGGCAAAAGTTATATTCATATGGAGAAACTTTATCCCGCTTACCGGGTAAAGTTTTCGGCTGTGACGTGGCACTGAACATCAATTGAATTGAAAAGTTGCTGACACGACAGAAAGTTATCCCGCTAAGCGGGAAAGTTGTGTTCATATGGGAAAAACATCCCGGTCACCGAGATCTCGCCTGTCAACAAGCGAGATCTCGGTACACGGGAAAACTTTTTGTCTCATATGAACGCAGTGTAACTTTTCATATTATTTTCATACCAAGGCGAGATCTCGCTTGTAAACTTGTCGAAACGTTTTCTCGCTAACCGGGATAACTTTTGCCCATATGAACAAACAGGCCCTTAATCGACTCGTGGATTTTCAAGTGTATTTTGAGACGACCTGGATCGGAATAGTCCAGAGAGGACGTCGACACCGACCTCTTTTCGAAATCGATCTATGGAATGTACACGACCGTGTTGAGAATGACTTACTTGTGGCCAAGATCAGGAAAGAGCAAGCCAATAACGAACTATTATTGTAGCAAATCTATGCTGGATTCGCCGTCGGTCCATCAAAGAAAATTTACCTGTCAGCCTGATGTCTTGTCGAACAAATGTCCTGTCGGTCGAACGTCTGTCGGTCAAGTGCCTGTCGGCCAAACATCCGCGTACAGACAATAATATAGGGCTAGAGTAACATACTCACAATAGTCACATTAGGGCCTGTTTGTATGGAAGCCAGGTTGGCCCGCTCAGCGAAACGGCCCGGTAAGTGGGATGAATTTCTCTTGTGTTTATACGAGAAAATTTCATCCTGCTTGCCGGGAGAATTTTGTTGTTTTGACAGTTGTTAAAAATAGCTTGCGGCGATATCTTTGAACTTTCTTTCCGGCAACCGGGCTAGCCCGCTTGTGAGTGTTTATATGGAGAAATTTCCATTCCGGTAAGCGATATCTCGCCTCTTTCAAGCGAGATCTCGGCAACCGGGCCAGCCCGCTTGTCCATATAAACGCACGATCATTTTTACTATGAAAATAACTACGCAGCGAGATCTCGCTTACCGGGCTGTCTCGCTCAGCGGGCCAGCCCGGCTTCCATAAAAACAGACCCTACAGATTAAAAATTAGGAGACTTGAAGCCCAGTATAGACAAGAAGGAATTCAGGAAATATCTAAAACCTTCATAATATGTTTTTAGTTCGTACAATGACGGTCTATTGTTAATTTCAGATGGTCCTTGCTTAAGTGATTTGCGCTGTTTTTGGCGGACTGGGGTTGACCTTCTATCAGCCCGGTCCGAAAGGCTTAATGTGATGTTTTAAAACACATCTAGTGAGGTGGATCTTCTGGATTTACCCATGGCAGAGAGTTGTTTTTCCAACATTGTCTTATACCCATTGTTCACAGTGGGTTTGAACAACTCAAAAAGAAGATGGATGTGGCTCTAAAGTATGGCTGCATGCAAAGGTTTTTGCTTTGCTTAAGGTGCAGCCTTAAGTTTGGTTTGAAACTTCACTGTTCGGTTTAAGTTCATGTTTCATTTAAGATTATTGATTAAAAAATGTTTTGTAATGTTGAAAGCCACTAAGGGGTAAACCATTAGACTTTTAATGGTAGGTTACAATTATAGTGTTCTATTTCTGCATTCAGTCCTAGTAAATGTACAATCAGTTGCTACTGTACAAGGAAGATTTAAAATTTTATCGCAACTAAATAAAATTCAGCGTATTCTAGACAAATTCTAGACATCATTTAGGTCTTGATCTCAAAACGTTTCTGGACCAATGGTCCCATGATCCGCAATATTTTGCAGCCCTGGACTCTGTAAAGCTCTGATTCATTGGTGATTGGAGTTATTCAAAATGAACTGAAGAACTTCTAAGTAGCAATCTACCCTAAGGTAATAACAGTAATAGTTGATTTATCCATCTTTGGTGCATGTAAAAATAGTAATCTAGGAGTTATATGTACAGATAAAAATTTTAGGAATAGCTATAAAAATATTGTCTATAATAGCGAGTTTGTTCTGGAAATAAACGATAGTTCATGCCTTTTGGTTTACGAGAAGAATTGTGGAAGAGTTTTTGGTGTTCTTCGGGGCCGCGTATTCCAGAAACGGTCTTAATTTGGTTTCATAGCATGTTAAACCCACTTTGGTTGGTAGATTTGCTCGACGACACTCCCGTAGGTAAAATAAGCGTTTGTTTGCTTTCTTTGTAGTTTCTTCAAATTGGCAAAGTGGATTTACACTTTCTCTAAGTTCTTGAAATTGTTCCATATCAAGGGGGCAATTAGTTTCATGAACCTCCACGTGGTTCTCATCATCAACGTCTTGCACAACTGGGCCATCCCAGTCAATACTGTACCATAGTTCTCTAAATTTATCTGAAACAAATGGTTGGAGATAATTGTGATCAGTCGTTCTCTTCTTTTAGTTACCATAATATGGACAGACGATACTTTTAATCAACAATTTTACTTGTTTGCATATAATGACTGTAAGTGTAAAATATGTTATTCAATCCCAGGTTCTTTTAAAGAGGTGGTCTTGTCTGTTCTGCACATGTGTTATATGAGGGCCCTCTCCAAGTTTTGCATTGTTTCAACAGCTTACAAATTAGTGAACCAGAACAATGTTAGATATTGACTTGCTTATTAAGTACTGTACATCACACAATATAATATAATAAATATATATAGTGTGCTCAAAAATAAACAAACTGTACTTCCAGTGATAGACTTGACATAATTAATTTTTCAAATTATCAAATGAACAGCATCCACAAAAAGAAACAAACGTATTACCTAATATGTGTTGTGTTTTTTCCTTCTATGCGGTATTGTAACATACAATACAGAATTGACTAATGTAGTGACAAACACTGCACTTACCCCTTCAGCGAACTCCCTTGCAATTGTCCCATTTGGATTCTGGTTTCTCATCATCCCACTGATCCACAGTTGCTCCGGACTCATGTCACTCTCGGTACTGATGGGCCATGTGTTATGACCAGATTTAAATACATCCAGGCAACTATTAATTCTGGGTTGAAATACATAATGGAGAGCTGCAAGCTGGTACTCATTTCATGCATCTAATAAACCACATTCCTCCACGAAATGGAACAGGTAAAAGAAGAGGTATGTGCAGCCAGCAAATACGTCTCTCCACAATCTCTCCATTCGCTGGTTATATACACTTCGCCCAGTGATGTGACTGCCTCGGTCTGGATGGGTGAGCATGTACCATGCCACATCAACGTTTTCACCACCATTATCCGAGCGAATTCTTGAGGGCAGGCCAAATTCTTCAACAGCATGAATAAATTCTTTGATTGCATGGCGATAAAATATAATTGTTTTTGTTTGTGGAAACACCACGTAAATTTATTACTGCAAAGCTTTCGATCCGTAAGCCCGGATCTTCATCAGTGCTAATAATATGTGACTTGTTTAATTCACACGCTCTTTTTATATACAAGAGTGTCAATATGAATAAGAGTATGAATAGTGTATAGTATCAATAGTGTCAAGAGTATGAATCTCAGAAACCTGGTGTGTACCGCATTCCTTGTGAATGTGGTCTGGTTTACATTGGTGAAACTGGTCGAAATCTCTCAGTACGTCTTAAGGAACACAAGACGAATTGCGAGAAAGCCGAGCAAGATAAATCTGCTGTGGCTAAACATAATTGGACTTACGACCATCGTATAAAATGGGACGAAGCAACAATTTTGGCGATTGATAGTCATAATTAAGTTCTCTCGCAAAATGAGAGAGTCAATTGAAATCGAGAAGCACAATACTATAGATCAGGAGGGAAAGCCACTAGATAATACGTGGCGTGCTCTCTTTAATGTGCAAAATTAATTTCTCTTGTCTTGGATGCGCGCGCGTTAATTGGAATCACTTCACTACGTTTGAAATGACGTGGTTGATGTGCCGTTTAATTAAATTTCAAATGACGGGAGCCAACAGATCACGACACTCTTGTATATAAAAAGAGCGTGTGAATTAAACAAGTCACATATTATCACAGAGTAGATAAGACATACAGAGACGTAACTGACCGTTGTAAACACTGCGGAAGATTACGTTATCATGTACCCACTTTTTTTCAGGCGACCGGGCGAAAAATGATCAACTGCGCGTGCTCAGCAAGTTTAAAGTGAGTCGTCATCAGGTCGTCATCCAATCAGATGCATGCATCTAGTAACTTGCCGAGCATGCGCACAAAAAAAGTGGGTACACTAGTTACGTCTCTGTATGTCTCTACTCTGTGATATTATTAGCACTGATGAAGATCCGGGCTTACGGATCGAAAGCTTTGCAGTAATAAATTTACGTGGTGTTTCCACAAACAAAAACAATTACCAGGAAGACAATCATACGGGAATAACCATCTACAGTATGCCTCCATGAATTACAAATCTCCATGTGTAAAATTACCACCAAAGTTAAGTTATCCATGGGGAGTATTTTGCAAGTTTGAGATAATGCATGCTTGATTTGACCACTTGATTTTGAGTCAAGTTAGTGGCTATGATTTGAAGTTCATAGGAAATATTGCCAAGTTAGTGTTGAAAATACAAAAAGGAAATATGTATGTTTAACCAATCGAGCTGGCAATCAGGGCCATAGTGAGATGGTGTAAGCAGAGGGAGTATAAAATGAAGGATTTGTTTGCAAATAAGTCTTTCATTTGCCGTCATTTGTTTTCAGGGGGAGGGTGCACACACCCCAGTTACAACAACCCTGCTGGCAATGAGCCCAAACAATTTTAGTTAATGGGTTAAATTGCTGATGTTAATTAATGAATAATGTTTCCACTAAATGACACCAAAAAGTCAAATTTCATGTGATATCAGATGCAAGAAAACATGAACTTTGACAATTGGTATACCTTTATAGTAGAGTTGATACAATATAAAATGTAAAGTATTTAATAAAATTCTTACCTGGTTAACTTATGGTTGCCATCAAAATAGGTGGAAATAGTGGGGGAGGTGGAAAAAATTTTAGGGGAGGTCAGTGGCATGACCCCCATGGAAAGTTAGGGCTTAGAATGGGCCAAAGTCAACGACATGACATATGCATGTAGCCATATGTATCAGTGTATTAATGAATTATGACTGTGCAACATCCACTTTTGCCCTTCATCACAATTATTTTGTTTCAAAACATCACGTTAAAGGGGTATACTTGACACAGAGACTATCAATTTTACAGAAAAACTTTCTTACAAAGTGTAAGCAACCAACAAATGACAAATTTTCACTTGGATCTATTATTGAAACTTTCCCAAGGGGAGGTGCATGACTTTTCAGGGGAGGTGAAAAAATTCCCAGGGGAGGTACAAAATGATCGCAGGGGAGGTGCGCACCTCCTCACAAAATCTGGCCATGATCAATATGCCACAAAGCCAATGGCAAAGGAACTGAATACACCCACCAATGTATCACATTAATTTCTAGTGCTCGTAAAAGAGTGCCCTGTGGATCCACCTGCCGCATGGATTCTCTAATTCATCTTTGTTGTATTCTTATACCACGAGTCCGCATGTAACCAGACATTCTTTTATAACCGGTGTTGGGAAAAGTTGCTAATATTTGATTAACCGTCGAATCTAAGTGTTCCTCAGATATATCTGCATAGGTTGCCCTGACTGATAAACCAAACTCCTGTAGTCAACACTCTACGGTACGCGAACTATTCATGCATAAGCTGATTTTAAATTTTTCAGTAAAAATTCCTTCAGTTCTAGGTACAATTTACTATTTCGCATGAATATGTTAAGCAACCCAATGCTTCCGAAATGAGGTTGACTACACCGCACTCGATATAATTGCTTCCATGATACCTTGTAACCAAACACAATAGCCATTCTAACCTATACTGGGCATTCTCAAGATGGCCATTCTCAACACCATGTAACTCCAGTTGGTGAAAGATACTAAGAATACAGTGCCTAACAAGGTTTTTCACAACAGCTCTAATGTCTTCTTCAGGGTCCTCCATTTTGTTTTCTACAGTCTCGTTCCAGTGTTGCCCGGTTGGCAACCAAAATTTGTTCACTGAGCATCAAGGTTACGTCAGCATAATGAAATACAAAATTGAATATCGAAATACGTAATGTCAGAACAAAATGCCGGATTCAATTGCGTAATACAGTGTACCGAAATTGGCAGGCATATATGTAACACGTATGAGATAGAATAACAAAATGTAATGCGTCATAATGAAATGCTTCTTATAATTGCATAATAGGCCACATAAAATAAATTCCTTGATTCGCAACACCGCCCAACTGTATTTTAAGAGCCTTGTGAAATTTTTTTATATTTCGTTATACAATATAAATGTACCACCTGACAAAATAATTCAAGACAGTTAAGTTTTTTATATTTTGTATTGGGTTTTTAGTGCCATTTTAAACTGCCAATTTCAAACAAACAGAATCTTGAAAGAAATTTCATTGCATTTTAAAGAAACTTCACATTCCTTTCAAGGGTTCAGTCATTGTTCGTGGAGATACGTTGGAAATTACAGAAATGTATAATGTAAGATATTTCGGTTTGTGACACTTGACTTCGGAAAATAACAGAAATATTAAATGCTCGGAATTATTTTTTTATTTATTGATATATAAATTATATAAATATAAAATATAAAACTCCCACCTCTTCGACATTTTCAAAGTGTAGTGATGAGAATCAAGGAATTTATTTTATGTGGCCATATATGTGTTTTATTATGGCAGTGAATGACCCCTCCCTCAATCATAATTTAATAAATGTTCAGTACAACAATTAATTACAAATGTTTACTGGTTTGGTGGCCTGTTGCATTGAAAATCATTCTGTGTAAAATCACAACATTTTCAAGCCAGAATTCTAGTGATTCCACTAGACATACTGCTAACATAAATTAATTAATACCCAAATTAGTACATCGGTAGTTGGAATGCCCCCCTGGGGAAAATGTCACCATGGTACAAATGTTCATGTCAACTTCAACTGCACGATGAAAATTAATATATAAAAGGAATCACAACGTACTGTATTATGCCTAACAGAATTGCCATGACCCTGACTATGAGCTAGTTGTACTGCTTGACGAAATGAAATCCTACTGTCGCTTCATCATTCATGTACTAAACAAACGACGTACAGGATACTATTTAGAACTTGTTGAGACAAAACATTGTTGATATGAAACTAATTATGTGTAATTACTTCAAGTTATGTCTTTGAGCGCCGTTTCACTTTAGTATAAACGAAACTCCATAAGCCATGTGGAGTACACTAACCCGATATTATCTTAAATTTAATAAATTGATTAAACTGTTTCCTTTCGTTGTGACTATAAACTTGTAAATGCACTAAAAGCAACTGTTTGAGCGCGGTTACTTTAAATAAAGCACAAAATTGTTTTCAATATAAATGACTCTAAAATATTCACCGTATGGCATCATGCTGAGAGCATATAAAAAATGTATAAAATTGCACTTTAGCTCAAGTTTGAATATTTAATATTCAACGAACAATAAAGTAATAAACTAAGACAGATACACACGCGACATTAAACTGTGAGCAATAACAATTTATAACAAGGAGATAATATTGCAACCCTATAAAGAAAGAATCCCTAACAAAAACGGACTAAACAGGCAAAGCACGAACCAGAATTTGGACGGTTTTATTTATATATATATAATAATATAGCGTGAGAGTTTCAAGACATTGTATATTAAATTGCACAGCTTCCGTGATATAGCGTCTAGCAACGAAATATATTAAACAATACTTTGGTAAAAATCAGGTAATCTACTATTTTTAAGACATGAATAAGTATATAAACAGTTGCCGCCCTTCTCTGACTTATGTCTCGAACTCTCCAGGTATGCACAGAAATATTTCTTGTCGTGATTTCGTATAAATTCGTATTGTTTTGCGAATAAAAGATCAAGGCACTGGAGATTTTGATTAATCAATATCGATAACATATTCTGATCATAGATAGTATGCCTGTACAAATCGAGAGTGAATTTACTGATCATTTTGAGGTTTGTTTGTCACGACAGACATTGGCGGCAAAAAGCAACATGATTTGTTATTAAAACATACTCATAATTAACCATACCTGCGTAGGATATCAACATGAACAAAAGCAATATCACTAATTTACTCATTTTAAAAGCTTCTTCCAGTTCACAGATTTCTCGATACGTTCCAAAGCTAAAGATGTTCGTACAGAAGATCAGACAATCGCCCTAAGTATTTTGTAATCGGACGCCTTTCTTCTTCCACAAATATCATAACATCTGTCTTTGTCCTGACTGTTTGACTGCGGTTGATCGCAATTTGACGTTTCACAGGAGCGCAGGCGCAGCTGTGCTTGTTATCTCTGCTTGTGATCAATGGCATCTTAATAACTGATTACTATATATACTCCTGACACTTCAATAATTTATATACACATAAATAGATGCAGATCTATTCTCCTTCACAATATTATGATATGTTTTGTGTGCAAATAAATAACATCCATAATATATAACATTCCAAATTTAATTTATTCGGCCGCAATGGATGGACTGGATGAATCATGATATGAATAGACTACTGAGGAATAGGGAGTAAATAAAGTTCGACATAGAAAGGCGTTTGTAAACAGAAAGTGCATTCTGTTTTACCTTTATTACGCACTACATTTAGTATTTTAGTGCATAATCTGATCCTGTGAGAAAGAAAAGAGGGGGGCAGTATGGCGCCATGTTCTGGTTGATGGAGTTCCCAGCAAGGAGATTTCCACGCCCAACGAAAATACTGATTATTGTAGGTTTCCTAGTTCTTAATTTGCGTCCGAAGATTCTTTGAGTTTTATAAATACTGACAGTAAAATTCCGTTTAAAGATACTCCTGTCAAAGAGAAGTCACCATAAGATTTCACTAAACAAAATGTCTTAGTTAAAGATTTAATTGGGCAGAAAATTTCTCTCGACATTAATATGAATACGCATGAGCGCTTAAATAGTACGTTTCATATCATATGCATGTCGAGTACGTGATGTCGACATATATGAATGAATGTTATTAATACTTCTGCCTTCATCTATTGAACTTCCTAAAAATTCAACAAAATCTACAGTTTATTTTCTCTTATGTTCCATATATAGATTCTTCAGGGGCGTAGGCGGCACTTAGCGAGACATGAGGTCAGGTCACTGGATGTCCGTGAGATCAAGTCACTGAATAAGGACATCTTTTCCAGTTAAAGGTGTTGTCAAGGTCAAGACACCCATAATATTGCGTGTATAATATGTTAATCACTGTGTCAGCAGGCGATGTTACGCGAGACAACTATGCTTGTTATGACATCTTGGAACCGACGGAACGCATGCAAATGAAATTTGATTGGTGCTGTAACATGTATTAAGTCTCTCTTTCCGTCCTACAATGCCTAATACACTTCAAATTTAAGGCGCTAATGCTAGAAGAAATTTAGTTTAGCTGCCAGGCTATTAATATTATTTATACTGGAAATTTAAAAAAGGAGCTCGGGTCATGAAACAGTACTCCAAAAATTATTTCACGAGTGATCACGACAGTTTCAGCCAGGCGGTCAAACGGGAATGCGATGTCATGGCGATGTCAGGAGGAACAGCAATATATTTTGATAGAAACCATTAATATGTCATCTAAGGGACACATATTTGCAACCACGGTCTTGTTTTGTTATACACAGGGATAAAAGTTTCCCCTGTACGCCTCTCCGTCACGTGATACCGCTTGTGATCCCCCCCCCCCCTTCCCCCTGTGACACTACGTGATTCCTGATCAAAACCCCCCTCCCTCCCTCCCTCCCTCCCTCCCTACATCCACGAGCGTTACGTATTTTCTGAATCGGCCCTTATAAGGCATCAAAAGATCGGGGGGGGGGGCACCGGGTTCCAAAATTTCCGTCGTCAGTAACATATTTCATTGAATTGTACGTTTTAGACACTGCTTTATTAGCCTGCTCAGCAGACCCCACCCGAAAATTTGAAGCGGAAAAATACAACGCAGGGGAGACATTTATCCCCGCATAGGAAACACAAGGCGACGTTCACGAGCGCATGATTTGACCGCAATTCTCGAGGGCGTGAGTGTTTTCGAGTACTTGCTGTCATGTTCGCTGAACTGGAATGAATTTTAAAATATCCTTCAAATGGCTCCAATTACTGGATCTTCTACGTGTGGCTCGAAAAAAATTTCGGAATGATATCCATGACATGTTTTTACAAATAGCTAATCAACATACGAGGTTCAAGTTTCAGATTCTGAACCTGATCAAGTATAGACTTGCTCCAAGTCTCTCTTTCATTGTCATATAGTGTCGATCCACTATAGTGTACATTACATGATGTAGCACGGAGAGGCGGAGCGAGAAAGAGAGACTTGTCAACTTCGGAAAATCTCGGTTCAAAACTGAACCGAAAATGCAAGACTTGCTTTAATTCTTTCCTTCGATTTCTTTCTGTATTATTTACTATAATGGAACTCATGTTATTTACACCGTGGTAGATCAATACATATAAACACTGAAAGAAAACAATTAAAGCAAGTCTTGCATTTTCGGTTCAGTTTTGAACCGAGATTTTCCGAAGTTGACAAGTCTCTCTTTCTCACTCCGCCCCTCCGTACTACGTCATGTAATGTACACTATAGTGGATCGATACTATATGACAATGAAAGAGAGACTTGGAGCAAGTCTAGATCAAGTATGGAAGGCTGCATGGAGATTCGCAATTGATTTCGAATCAGAATTTCAGATAGCTCCTCCGTCTTCGCGTTTATTTCGTTAATTATTTTTTCAAAAGCATTCCGAATAAACCAGTCTGGTAGACTGTAGGCCTCTAGCTCAGACCTCTTTGCTTGCTATTATGTTTACTGAACCGCTCTTGTAAATAGATATGGGCAAAAAATTCGGGGGGGGAGGCAAAGCTTCCTAAATTTCCGACAAAATTAACTTTCAAATTTCCGACATGCCCCCCCCCCCCATTTGCACTCGAAAAGACTGTTTTAGCCCTTATTTAGGTCAAAATTTCCGAAAATTCGTCAATTTTCCGCCACTGTCTATATTGGTCCATATTGCATTTCCCATCATACAACATGAGATGAGCGAGTGAGATCAGTTCCAATTATTGCTCCTGCCATGCAAGTACAGGTGGTATACACGTGTTTCGCTGACAGGACCCAAAGTGTTTACACGTGCTTTAGCAATCATACGGTAAATACTTAGTTATGGGCAGTAAATATATTCATGTGAAATTATGCCAGATGTTCGTAAATCGCTTTTGGACTATCGAATTTAGCGCAGTAATTCCCCAGCGACTGCATGTACCAGGCAAATGATCAAATTACGCCTTCACTATAGCGTGAAGTGGAAGCTTCAAGGCATTGAAATTAGGGTTTTACTAGTTTTAAAATCAGTCTCTCATACGTTATTCGTCAAAATGATCAAAGCTTAGATCTTTAGCTTGAAGGGTTTTTGTAGGTGGTAAATTCGAGAGAAAATTATATATTTTTTTATTTTTAGACCTTACCAGAAGCAGCTGTGAAAAATGTAACTGAAAATTAAGGCCCACACAGACCGAACGCGATGCGACAACGCAATTAGAACTATACAGTATACATTTTTAGACATGACGGAAGCAGCTGGGGAAAATGCAACCGCATTGGCCCATTAGGCCGCGAAAGAAATGGAACCTGCATGTGGTCGCCTCTTGTTTCTTTAGCCTCGCAAAGAGCCTTTGTACTCACCAGAGTAGTGGTCCCGCGATTCCGGAGCAAACCGTACAGCTCTCTGACCGCTGGCTATAAAGAGTCCAGTTAATTCAGGCCCGTACTGACTCACTATGAGTCAACCGAGTCAGTTGACTCGGCAAGATTTTTTGTGAAAAAATTCAAAACAGGAAGACTTCAAGTTTATAGAAATCCGTAGACCGCAGCTAGATCCTGAATGAAATTTATTCAATTTGTGATGAAGGGTAGAAGTACGAATTAGCGTCCCAAACACGTTTTTTTTATTATATGCACCTGATCATATAGGACCAAGAGTAATTGAATTCTTCTGATTGGATACTTGTAGTATAATTGTGCATGAAACACACTATGAAATTATAGTCATTGTGTCACTGTTTATCATACTGATTTTTTGTTAAAATTGCTCACTCAGAATGCAGGAAATAGCGTTTCTAAGCCTTAGAAAATCAAACATTTGGGGGGGGGGGCATGCCACGACGACTCGCGACTCGGTACATCTAATATATCCAGTGGCGGCGCCAGGCCTCAGAATTTGGGGGGGGGCATTTGAGGGGCAAACTCATATTTTGGGGGGCAAGATAGAATTTTTAAACAGGTACTGCTATTTGCCCATGCCGTTGTCACAGGACTTTTGTCCCCCCCCTCCCCCCAGGAGATTCGCCCACTTTCAAAAGGGGCCGATATTTAGCTATTTGGTCTGCATACCTTGTAAAATTTTTATCCGTTGACGGTTTTATTTGTCAGTTGAAAACCGGAGAATTCGCGTCGCGTTGCCGAATCGCGTCCGGTCTATGTGCCCCTTTTTGCCATTTTCCCGCGCGTTCAATCTTAGTCCGGGAAACAATAAAACGAAGGAAAATAGAGGGATTGCTCGCAGTCTAGGTCTATGTGGGCTTTTTTTACACGTTTGACAATTTAACCTTGCAAAACTAACGCTTTTTTATCTTTTTTTTAAACGTATTATTGGAGTATTGGCAAGTTTTACCATTCAGAGATTTACAAACTAATATTGAAACTGTAAAAGACTGTTTCATGCATACGCGCATTCACTGAGTAATGACAACTTATAAGCCATATATACATTTTCCGACAACGACAAAACGCTTGTGTAGCCTTTAGTCGCTCTCAGTGACTAATAAATTTTTTTGAGGGGGGCAAAATGAGGGGGGGGGGCAAAAATAATTCGGGGGGGGGGCATTTGCCCCACCTTGCCCCCCGCCCTGGCGCCGCCACTGCTAATATCCTAGTTACGGACCTATAATTTGTTGTGAGTTTAATTTGTCGTTATAAGTTAACTTGATCAGTACATAAAAACTGCTTTAATGTTAAAGGTACTTTGGCACTGCTCCGCCATAGGCATATGGTATTGGAAAGTCATGATGACCAGATTCATACTAACTATACACTGCATGCAAATGGCGCAGTTAATTACAAGTTGATGTACAGTGACGGATTCGCTGCTCTCTGCAATGAATTACAGGATGGTGCGTCTTCTGAAATGTGTTTGAATTCGGGATTGAAGCTTCCTTCTTCTGAATGTTGTCTTCAGGGCCGCCAAGAGGGGGCAGGGGCAATTTGCCCCGGGCCCCCACCTTAATGAGGCCCCAACTTGAGTAGGTTCTTTAAATTGGTCTGAGCAGTTTTGAAATTGAGGACCCCTTACAGTAGCTCCACATGCAGTCTAAATAAGGTCTAGTTGGGTGACTGACTTGGATCTAGGTTAAAAATAATGATGTCATGGGGTCCCGCAACTTCCCTCGGCGACCCTGGCTGTCTTGCGTTCTCATAAGCAGTTCCGGTCTGCATGGTATGGAGACCAGTTGACAATATAAATTTTCAGTCTATACGTAAGCACGAGGCATTCGTATAACTATATAAGCGACAGTTCTGTAAGTAACTTCGTTACAAGTAACGAAATTACAAGTAATCGTTACTTTTTGAGTAACAGTAACAGTAACGGTAACTAGTTACCTTTAAAAATAAGCTAACGGTAACGAGTTACATTTTGGCCTAAAATGAAACGATAACGTGTTATAATTATAGCCAACGTTTACGTTACT